TAGACTACGAGGCTTGTGCCCTGAGAGGTAGGTGTTTGCTTTCGCACGCATCAGGCTGAAATCTGTAACTTCCCGATGTTTAAACAAAGCTATGCTCCATCTTGTAGGGGAAAATCTCCAGTGGCTTACAATCATCAGCAAAATTTTGGAAGGTATTTAGAGTCCCCGCTTCAACCTTTTCTGCTGTGGTTGATGCAGTTCCCCAAATTGTTTTCTTCTTCAGCCCTGTTAAAAATCTTTCTCTCTTATTGGAAGCTGGGAGCTGCTGCAAGCTCACATCTTCTGCTCTACCAGCCAGCTCCAGCAGAACATGTGACCCATCTTCCATTCAGTCCATTGAAGCACTCTAACCCTACAAAATTCAAAATGTGTCAATAGTAGAGGAAGAGGGAGAAGGTGAGGCTGTTATAGGCAGGAGGAAGATGCTGTCCAAAAGCTTTCCAGCTGGCCAAGGTGATACTCATTCCAGTTCACTCACCTGCATTTTGACATGACAATTCACTTCTCTAATAAGAGTTATGAAATTCTAGTTCTTCTTTCTCTTGAAAAGTGAAATTGGCTTGCAGATTTATTATCAAGTAGACACATTTCCCTTCCTCATGCAAGAGTGAGTTTTATTTCAAAGGAACTGCTAAGCTCTACCATAAGCACCTGTTTCCAGCACTCCAACAGGTAAAGTCCCCTCTCTGGGAGGGAACAAGGTTGTTCAGCAGATAACCTTTAAAAAACCCTGGTCATGTATGTTGTTTGCAGATTGTCACCCTCAGGAACCGGATTGATCAGGCTCAGAAACAGTAAGTACCCATATCCCCTTCCTAGCTCTTGGCTGGGGATATGATCTCAGTGTTTGAAGCAGTCACTTCAGTCCCAATGCTGACATTTTCTTGTTGTAATGGAATGAGGCTAGAGAAAAGGCAACTGCCACCCTGCCTCACATTGAGAAAATGACAGGGAAACTGAAGTGAATCTAGCAGCTAATACTAAAAACATTGTGTTTCTTCACACAGTGTCAGCAGAATTTCCATCTGCTTATTGACGTGATTTTCAAACACCTGACTGGGGTGCTTTGAATGCACAACAGGATACAACCCTTGTTTATGGAGGGTAAACAAGTGGTTGCTAAGATTATAAGGAATGATATGTAACAAGACTAACATCATGGGATTACTGTTGTGAGTTCTTCTCATTTGTCATCTCTCTCCCACCTTCCTTTTCCACATGACTTCTATTTAAATAGATTTTTCACTCTTATGTCTTTAACTCTTCTATGTATTTACAGTGAACTTATTGAGGGAATTGGGGCTGCCTTCCCACTTGCCCAGTCCACCCTGCCTTATCCCATGAGTGCAACACTGTCGGCTCAGCTGTGTGTAGGTGCCATACATAAGGCTTGACCTTCTCAGAGTATTTTCTTTACAGAGCTGTAGGCTCATAAACCTCCACAGAATGTGCAGCTGTAGAAAGATGCCATGGTTTATCTGGGCGATGCTGCCCTTTCTAAGGGTACTGTCACACCACCCACTGCAGGATGCACTATTACTGCACATTTGCTCTCCCAGAAGACACTGTACTCTTTTTAGTGCAATAGGGCATCATTTAAAAAGGTTGGACTGGAAAGCCCAGAGCTCTTGAGATTTTTGCAATTTTATTTCTCTGCAAATCAGACTGTCGCATTCTGAAGCAATGTTGGTTAATGTATTATAAAAAAGAGCAAGTGATCCTTTCTTTAGACTTCATTAAGTTTCCCTAAGCACACTGTAAAGGTTAGGCATAACATTAAACATCACAAGCCTTTGCGGAGATAGGACTCCACCTTAGTTTGAGGAACTGTGCAGTTCCTATGCTGGGCTTTGTACCAGTGCGAAGGCTGGAAAAGAGAACAGTGGAATGACTTTAAAGTAAGCAGAAACTGCTCTGTTGTCTCATGTAAAGAGTCAATTTTCAGAATTTATCAAGTCTAACTTGGTCAAGAGGTAAAGTATTTCCTATATGTGTGTCCAAGTCACTTTGTTAAGTCCTCCCATTAATACGGCTAGCATTCTTGAACCAATCCACCCAGTAGCACTACACAAATCTCCCAAAATGTTGTCTTATTTGTTTTGGCTCTCTGGAAGAACCAGTGATCTGAAGGTTGCTTCCTTGATGGCAAGGCCCCACCACAATGTTCTGCCTCCCAACCCCACACTCTGCAGTGTCAAAGGGCCCAGGTCACGTGTGCTTTGGTTCAAGAAGTAGCTTCATCATCGTGTGCATGAGATGGAAGGGTCTGGTGATATGAAGTGCCCCAAAAGGGTGGGCACTGTCTATGGGAGCCGGTGCAAAATCTAACCTGACTAACTGCTTGCCTGGACCCTCTCTGAATCCAGGCATGCCTGTTTTTCAGTCAGAAGGTAAGTGACATGCATGTAGAACTGCCCTTTGGTGTGCAGGAAGATACTGGCGAGTTTGCCTGAGGTGCTTTGTGTGGGGAGTGTAGCTAGACTGCTCCCATACACTCTCCAATTTAGCAAGACTGGGATATGAGTATGAGAAGAAGCCTTTAAAGGTTGTTTGTACCATTCTAAAGAATCGCTCTCGTGATGTAAGGAAGAAGTCATACTGCCTTTGTTATAGCAAAGCAACTCTCTTATCAGGCCGTAGCTCTATTTAAATGATTGTCCATGTTCTTTTGCCTCCACTCCCAGATGACTAGAGCATCTGAGGTATTAGACTACAGCTCTCAAGTTTTCTGTGGAAACAAATGTATATAACAAATGTATATTCCAGATCAAAGCAGTCTTGAATTCTGAAAGTGTCAAATCTGTGCCTGGATAGGTCTGTCACTGTTAGCACTGAGGTCACATGGATTTCTAGTGTGATAATGCAGGAATCTGGAAAAGTCCACCCCTTTTAGGCATGCACATCCTGGCTTTTCACTGAGGGCTTGAAGTGGAATCTGATTCCACAATATCAGCCCACTTTCTCCAGGATGTGCTCTGTGGCTGCCGTGCCCAGTGCCTCAGAGGGAAAAGCAGCTCACCATTGACCTGAGTGCACAGTGGTGGAGAGCCCCACTGCTACCGCTGTGCTGACGCGCTTGTCTTTCCTGTTGTATTGTAGCAGCAAGAAGGCAGGAGCCAAGGGCAAAGTCGGTGGGCGCTGGAAGTAAAGAACCAGGCAGGACGGCCCATAGTGGCATGCCTGAACCCTGCTGGTCTCCTCTTTCTTCCTTCACAAATCATTGTGTCCCCATGCCTCAGCGATAACAAAAGTCGCAACATCAGCCTGAAATCGCGACATCAGCCTGGGCTGGCTATTGCTGCTGCTTTACTTTATCCCCTCGCCCCGGAGAAGACCAGTGGTTTCCTGCATCAAAAGGAAGCAGGTTCCCCCAGGAGCTGAGACAACTCCTTGCTGGCATCTTCACTACCTGCTGAGCATGTCCTTGAATCCCCTGACACCAGCCCTGTGCCATCCTGTAGATTGCTGTGTACAAATCTCTGGATTTTGTAAATAAAGCGCGACCAGTGTCTACTTCAATGACAATTCTCTGGAATGGTCTTTTGTGCTTCATTTAGGAGTGACCCCTTTTGCCAAGGAATTGGGTGTTGGGGTGAACCCTTAGTTATTGGTGTGAAACAGTCCAGTTCTGCAGCTGGGAATGAGGTTTAAAATAACTAATGAAGAATGAGGATGGGGACCCTGTTTTATGGCCACAATATGGGTGGACAACACGGACCAGCTCTGCCCTGGGGGGAGCTCACAGTCTATGTGCTGCCAAGTATATTTGAAGAAGCTGGGAAAAGAATAAGGGAAATCAAAGCACCAGGAATGAAGGATTAACTCCACTGAAGTGGTAGGTTTCAGCAAGAAGAAGTAATAGTTTTCAGCAGTGTTTCTCAACTGCTGGCGTGTCAGTGCAACACGGAGTACCGCTGGTTCTGGTACTGTGTTAAAGAGCTGGAGGCAACTGAAACACCGCATATAATAAAATCTATCATCAAAGCCTGATCTGTTTTGGTTAATTCCATGTAAAATCAAAGTCTGCCCCCCTCCAAACCAGGCCAGAAGAGCATAAATAAGCTGTGATTAAATTAAGGCCCCAAGGTTTCCTGTTGGATGTTTTTTCTTTGCCAGCCTCAAAACACCGTATTAGAGAGAAACCTATCCCAGGTGCTGTCTCTCCTCCCCCAGACTGCCACAGTTCTGGCTCTTGCTAGTAAATCTGTGACCACGACAGAAAGGTGGGGGAAAAAAAAAAGCTTTCAGACCGGCGAAGGGTTGCCCCTTGCCCTGGCACTCTGCAGCCGTTTCTGGCCCAACTACCCCATTGGTGCTTGACATGCGGCACAGCCATGGGGAGAGACTCTGAACAAGGCAGTTTCCTAAGCTAACGTGGCAAGCTACTATCTTTTTTGTTTGCTTTTCTGGGGTGACTTGGGGATTTCTTTGGTTGTTCCCGTCAGGCAGACGGATCAGCCCCACTCCTGTTTTCCACCTTTGGTCTCTCCCCGTACAGCTCCCGGCTTCCCAAGCCGCCC